AGGATGAATGGGGCCATTTATTGTGAGATTTTGAGCAACAACCTCCTTCCCTTGGTCAGAGCATTGAAGATGGGTCGTGGCTGGGTCTTCCAACATGACAACCCGAAGCACACAGACAGGATAACCAAAGAGTGGCTCCGTAAGAAGCATATCGAGGTTCTGGAGTGGCCTAGCCAGTCTCCAGACCTAAATCCAATAGAACATCGTTGGAGGGAGCTGAAACTCTGTGTTGCTCAGCAACAGCCCCTGAAACTTGACAGATCTAGAGGAGATCTGTGTGGAGGAGTGGGCCAAAATCCCTGTTGCAGTGTGTGCAACCCTGGTCAAGAACTACAGGAAACGTTTGACCTCTGTAATTGCAAACAAAGGCTTTTGTACCAAATATTAACACTGATTTTCTCAGGTGTTCAAATACTTATGTTCAGCAGTGCAAGACAAATAAATTCTTTAAAAATCATACAATGTGATTTCCTGAATTTTTTTTTAAATTCTGTCTCTCAGAGTGAGAATGCACCTATACAAGGTGAATTTCAGACCTCTCCATGATTAAAAAGTGGGATAACTTGCAAAATCGCAGGATGTTGCAAAATCGCAGGATGTTCCTCACTGTAACAGTGTTTTTACTATTCCCAATCCAGGCTTAAGAAAGGGGTTGGACTCCAAAATGTATTGCCTTTAACTGTCATATTAGTTTACTTCCCATGCCATGAGCATACCCTGAGGATGCTGCTTGTTGTACAAGTAGGTCCTGGACTGTGTAAGTCACTCGCCTTCTGTAATTTCCTGCTGTTAATACACTGCCTCTCTGCTGAGTCCCTCATCTGTCACTGCAGCCCTACATCACCTTGTTGCACATTTCATCTTATTATTATTATACAGGATTTATATAGTGCCGACAGCTTGCGCAGCGCTTTACAATATACAGGGAGACAGTACAATTACAATACATTTCAGTACAGAAGGAATAGGAGGGCCCTGCTCGTGGAGCTTACAATCCAAATCTTAGAGATCAATGCTTACTTTGTGGATGCGGCTAGTTGCCTTCACCTGTTCTGGACTGCAGAACCAACTTGCCTCCATTAAACCGATGTGACTCACCATTCTCCACAGCTGGATTCCACATCTACTGCCACTATCTCTGATCACATTCTGATAAGTGCCTGATTCATTTTCAAGTGCAAGTGTGTAATTATATGCCACTGGTAACAAACTTTTTTTCTATACTCAAGACCAGTATCCTTCTGTCTTCTCGGTTTTAACCCTTTCCCACTATCCAAAATTAAAAAAAAAAAAATGTGCCCAGGCATTCAATTTAAAAGCCAACTCCATTTAAAGAAGATAAACCCCCCACACACACACCCCAAGTGTGGGGTTCCACTCTCCTGCAACAGCTGTCTAAATTGAAATCGGCATGGCTGTGTAGGGATGCCCGCAAAGCCATGCCATTCATTCACAGAGATCTGTGAATGTATGAACTATAAGTCCCGTCTGCCACCATGGCAGACAGAATTGCAGTACTCGATGGAATACAAGTGTGGTAATGAGCACACTCATAGTAAACTGACAATTCCTCCAGAGGTATAGACAGAGAGCTGGAGTAATGGTACTGCAGGAACAGTTAAAGGGCAAAAATGTATAAACCTACTACAGGACAATTTTATGGTACAGTTTATAGAGGCCCGAACTAGGAATGATGCTCTGCTGGATCTGGTAATCTCAAACCATTCAGAGCTTTATTACTAATGTCCATATAAAACAATATCTGGGTAGCAGTGACCATAACATGATTTCTTTTATGGTTAGCTGTAAACAAGCATATACGGGAAAAATAAAAACACTAAACTTTAAGAGAGCTAATTTTCCAAGACTGAGAGCTACGCTCCAAGACTTAGACTGGGAGGGAATATTGGCATCTAAGAACACAACACAGAAATGGGAGTTCTTCAAAAAGTCTGTATGTGAACACTCTGCACAATATATTCCCATGGGCAACAAGTTTAAAAGGCTAAAAATCAAACCTATCTGGCGTATGGCCAAAGTTAAAAAAACTATAAATAATAAGAAAAGAGCTTTTATTAAATATAAAAAATGAAGGAATGCTATCATCATTTAAACATTACAAAGAATATAACAGAATATGTAAAAAAAGGAAATCAAGGCCACAAAAATTGAAAACGAATAACAGATTGCAAAAAATAGCAGGACAAACCTCCATAAATTCTTCAAATATATTAATAGTAAAAAGGTCCGGTCCGAGCATGTAGGCCATCTACAAAATAATCTAGAGTGGGTGACTGGGGACAAAGAGAAGACAAATTTATTAAATACCTTCTTCATCTCTGTGTATACAAAGGAGCATGGGGGAGCTCTTGTCCATAATGGGCATGGTATTGACACAGCTCCAAATGATCCACATTGGCTCACAACTGCTATAATCCAGAAATATTTAGACAGAAATAATAGGTGAATAAACCACCTGGACCAGATGGCATACACCCACGGGTCCTTAAAGAATTAAGCTGTCATTTCAAAGCCATTATTTCTAAGTTTTATGGACTCTTTAATGACTGGCATAGTACCACTGGATTGGCGTAAGGCCAATGTGGTGCCAATATTTAAAAAGGGATCAAAATCTTTACCAAGTAATTATAGACCTGTTAGTTTAACTTCTATAGTTGGGAAGATATTGGAGAGTTTAATAAAAGACCACATAGATGAGTTCGGTTCGGTTTTGCAGTTCGGTTTTGGGCAACAATTCACAAAAAGAACACTGGGGAACTGGAGAAAAGTACAGAGAAGGGCAACCAAACTGATACGAGGCATGGAGGAGCTCAACTATGAGGAAAGATTAGAGGAACTGAATGTATTCTCTCTTGAGAAGATTAAGGGGGGATATGATCAACATGTATAAATACATCAGTGGTTCATGTAGTGATCTCGGTGTAGTTATTCACCCTGAAATCATCACAGAGGACAAGGGGGCACTCTATGTCTGGAGGAAAAGAGATTTAATCTCCAAATATGTAAAGTTGATCCAGGGAGCCTCTAGGGTTTTCAAGAAGGAATTTTTTTCCCCTGCAGGAGCAAATTGGATCATGCTTTGCTGGGTTTTTTTGCCTTACATATTGCATGTGCATTAAAACAGAACTGAGCACATTTATTTAACGATTTCCCAAAACAGTTATTCAAGGCATGCAAGAATTATAACTGTTACAGGTGCTTATGCTCTCAGTAAGCTGTCAAGCCATCACGTGCCAGTTGTCACAATCAGGGCTGAAACAACTAATCAACTATTTTCATAATCGATTAGTTGGTCTGCATACAGAATGCATTATTTTGTTTACATATCAAAAAATACAGTGCAGTACACATACAGCTCTGTACACGGTTCATACATGTCAGTAAGTGCCTGAGAACTTGTGAATGTGTGAGGAGCAATACCTCGTGGGACATATAGTTCTGGGCAGGAGAAAGAAGTGAGTAATTCTAAAGGCAGAAATTGTTTTATTTTGCTATAGGGGCACTCTATACTATACTATATGGCTAGCTAGGGGGGCACACTGAAGGCAGGATATCTCAGAAGAGGAGAATCGCGGCTGCTCTGTGCCAAACTACAGAGAAGGTATGATAAATTTGTAGTTTAAAAAAAAAAAAAAAAAAAAAATATCCAAACTTTACAATCACTTGAAGGGCTCTGTGCACGGAAGATCAGCGTCTGAACCCAGAGAAGCTGGAGGCTGATAGACTGAAGGTAATACAAGGCATTATATAATTTAAATTTAAAGTAAAAAAAAAAAAAAAAAAAAAAAAAAAAAAAAACTTACCTGTATTGTGCATTATATTTAAAATGATTACATCCAAGCAAAAAAGTCTCAGCCTTTAGTACTACATTAATATAAATGATTTCTATCCCCCCCACCCTTCATATAGCTTCTTGTCTGACTTCCAGCTAAAATACCCTGTACATCCTACCTGAGGGTATATTTATTAATAATATATATATATATATATATATATATATATATATATATTTATTATTTTATATATTAATACTTTTACAGGTTTCATAGTATAAATTAACTCCTTATAGTAGTAGTTCTGTTTTTGTACAGGGCTAATTTTTGTTCTGACCCGATCATGACAGGAAATTAAAAAGCACACTGCTGCTACTAAATGTTTTATGCTGGCTGTCCATGTATTGATTTTAGGACAAGAATATTCGTTCAAAAATTATTCATACATTCGCCGAATGTACAAATGTCACTGATGTGTGACCCTACCAATGATTCGAAAAATGAACAAACGTTCTTAAAACATAAATTTTCAAAGGAAAAAATGGTTTGTGTATGGCCAGCATAAGTGACAGCAGGTACAGTTAGCTTGTTTCAACCTACCTGCCTATGACAAGGCAGGATGTCATGAACAATATTTTACAATTCCATCTGAAAATCTGCAAAACAGCGTTTTTAGGTCTTTTTACATTTTTCTTTAAATAAAAAATTGGATCTTACAGTCTGATGATATGTACCAGATTCAACTTCTAATAGTGTATATACACTGTATCTCTTCTGTGTGTTATTCTCAGAGTGGATTAGATATTTTCTTCCCCAACCATATAGCTGGTTAGTTATATTTACCACTGCATATAGATATTGAAGAAAAAAAATGGTCTTTAAACTTCACATAATAACTAAATTATATACCAAACTTTTTATTTGAGGTTTTTATCCAATTAATTGAAACAATAATTTGCCAATTATTAGATTAAGAGAATAATCGTTAGTTGCAGCCCTAGCCATAACTGATCAAACAAAGGCTAAGATGGCAGCTTCCTTGGCTGTAAAGGATAGGAGGTTCTAGAAACACTTTAAAACACTGCACATATGTATAGAGCCCTTAAAAAATGTTATACGCAAGGAATCATAAAAAATGCACAATCTGCCTAAGATCAGACTACATGCCAACTACTACAACAACTGACAAAACATGTGCAGCGTTACCTGGCAAGTCCAATACCAAATCCAGCAAATCTGTTTAGCTGATCTGAAAGAAAAAAAAAAAAAAAAGTTTACATTTAGAGGCAAATATATCATTGTTGGGACATGCAAACCTTTCCCTAATAATATTTTAAAGAGGAACTACACTGCATCTGAGCACCAAAAATCATAAATACTAATTCATTTTTAATATTCAAATAATTTTGAAAAACAGCCCCTAGTATTTCTGGCCAAAGCCATCTTGATTAAGGGCAGATGATTTGTGTAGCATTTTCTTCCTGGAATCCATCTGCCCTTAGCTGAGGCAGGATGATTGTTCTTAGCTGAGAAAGCTTCTCCCCTCCTGAAGACTCTTGGGATGTGTGCCATCATTTGCCTAGGCAAGAAGTAACTGTTGAAATGTAAAAAAAAAAAAAAATGCTAGCAGCACAAGGTTTAAAAACAGTCAATATTGACTGAGAGAGTGAAGTTCCACTATTTTCTCTATAAATAACAAGCATGCTATTTACCTGCTGTGTGCAGTGGATTTGCACAGAGCAGCTCCCCCTTCCTATCGGGTGCCCCCCATAGCAAGCACCCTCTTCTCCGTGTGTCCATTCACACACGGAGAAATGGCTCGGCCGCACCCGCTCTCTTCTTATTAACTCACTGGCTGTTATTGACAGCTAATGAGGAGAGGGAGTCCTGGGAAAGCAGAGACTCCAGTGCACATCGCTGGACCAAGAGGGGGCTTAGGTGAGTATTAAGGGGGCTGGGGGAGCTGCTGCACAGAGAAGGTTTTTTTACCTTCATGCATAGAATGCATGAAGGTAACAAACCTAGAGCCTTTACAACCACTTTAAGCAAACAGCAAGGAATGTACCCAGTGTGACAGCTGACCTTACGTTCAGTCACTGACTACTATGAATTATTTTTCTCGGATCTCTAGAAAGTAATATAGATGGGACACTGCAATTACATGTTTATCATTTACAGAAGAACGATGAACCAGCAAAAATGGGATCACTGCCAAATCCTTTCACTATGACCTACAGCTCAGTTACAGGCTTAAATTAACCGAAAAGACACAAGATAATCACATCTGCCTAACTAAACGAATGAAAAACCTAAAATTATATTATATACTAGATTTTCCAAGGATATTTTGTACAAAAATTCTCAGTACATTTGGTGGCTTGACGAATGTCATTCAAAAGTACTTCAAAATTTTATTTGCTTTTAACATTCGATTTTAGAACAAATGGACTTTACTGAATGAAAACCACTACTAGAAATTAATTTGATAAAAGTTTTCTCCTGTTCCTGAATTTGCTCGTCACTGTGGTAAAAAAAAAAATGTAGATTTGACACCTCTAATAATTAAAAAGAAGGGAAAAAAAAAAAAAAAACACACCACAAAAACATAACGAAATGTACAAAAGGATTTGAAACAAAATGCTACTACAGTAGGGATCACCAAACTATAGTCCGCAGGCCACAGCTGACCTTCTACAAGATTTAACCCTGCCCATTTCCTGATCACGGGTTGCAGGAAAGAAAATCACTCGATTCCCCCATCAACAATGACTGTGATCTCTCCCACAGTGCCATTGTGATCTGCCGGTGGGGATCCTTCCCTGCAGGCAGAACATGATTGCTGCTAGTGGCTATAGCAGCCAGCAGTGATTGCATGCAAAAAAAAAAAAAAAAAAAAAAAAAAGCACGACAGGCTGGTTGTACTGAAGTTGTTCGAGGGATCGATTTGAGTAAAAACAGTCTGCCCATAGATGGATCGAATCTGGGCTGGTCTCTGCTGAATCAGCCAAGATTCTATCTATCTATGGCCGGCTTAACTCTCACTGACATTTCTGCACTCCATTATTTCACTTATTAACTTTCTAGGCGACATTGGTTTCATCAGACATAAAATGCTAAAAAGTGTGTGTGTGTGTGTGTGTGTGTGTGTGTGTGTGTGTGTGTGTGTGTGTGTGTGTTGCAGATCTGTCCTTACATTCTGTCTGGTAAAACCATTGTCATCACTGACAGTAAGGCTGGTGTTCTGCTGTGTTGCGTTAAGGTGCGTACCTTCTATGAAAATTAACAGGCTTCTAGAGTACCAGAATGGACAAGTAGTATTATTTTTTTTTTTTTTTCAAACATTGCATACCACAATGCGCAGCAGTGTATTACCATACGATATACACTATAACCCACATTCGTCGGAGCTGTGTTGTCTAAGTGTGCCATTTTTGCAGTCTTTTTTTGCCCTTCTTTGATTTTACCTGTTTTTTTGGCCAGTAACAGACTTCCTATCTAATGGTGGCTCCACTCTGCAGAGGAGCAACAGTGCCACCCTTGGACAGCAGCATTGTCAATCTGGGGAGAAGGTAGTGTTAAAATGCAGAAGCAGATTTAGATGGAGTTGACTAACAAAACCATGGTTACCCTTACTGGTAATGGTATTTCCGAGAACATTCTAGGACAGCTAATAGGTTCTGCCTTCAACAGAAATCACAAACCAGAGAGAGATTAAAAAGCCCCTCCTCACAGCCTCAGTTGTTGTAAGTAAAGAACCTTCACTAATGTGGGGATGAGGGAAATTTTTTTTAGGTAAAAATGCAACAATTTCAAACCACTTTAAACCATGTTTAAAACATTTGGACAAATTAGATCTGAACACTGTCCTGAAAGGTTCTTGGAAATACTGCTATTGGCAGGAGTAACCATGGAGTTCTCAAATCATCTTCCAGGACAGCTACTTGAGAGGATAAACAAGTAAACATACCTTGGGAAGGGTGGGGGGGGCCTAATGGTTGCAACACCATCCTTCTGAAGAACAAGTACTGGCTGAACAACATTTCAAAACAGCAGTACTTCTCATAAGCATTGCTTGAGGATCATATCATAGTCTTTGAGATTTCCCACAAAGCACCAGTCCTCTTTGCTCCCGAAGCGGCCTTCGACCTTGAGGATTGAGCTTTAATTCTAGTAGGCAGAAACTGACCAGAAGTGATGAAATCTGAAAGAATAGTATCCTTAATCCATAAGGCCATGATACTCTAGATGGCATGGAGACCTAGATGGGACCACTGTACAAGACTAGAAGTTGAATAGATCTTTGTCACACAAATTTCCAGAAAACGCAAAAGGGTCACCACCTGCACCTAAAGGGTACTGGACAACAAACCCCTTTTAATCCCTTCCTGGAGTAAATCCAGAATTGAAGGAGAATCCAGATGGAACACCAGTCCCTGTGATAATAAATCCGAACAATTCTGCAGAAACCAGGTAGAACAGACTGCCAGAGACTTCCATTTTGGACCATTGGAGCTGTCAAAATTACTTCTGCTTGGTCCTGGATGATCCTCCTGATCACTAGGGGTAGCAAAGATATCGGGAGTAGGCATATCAACACCTGAACTTCCTTTTTAAGGCATTAAAAGCAGTAATGTTTGGACCTTGAAGTAGGGGACACTCCCCGAAAGCTTGTCCTCAAAATTGTATATTTGTGCAAATAAAAAAAGTATCACGGACAGTACTCAGTTGTTTCTGTCTCAAAAAGAAAGAAATAATACACAGTGCATTATCCTCATAAAATAAATACTACAAATCAATGTGTGAATTCACTAAACTGTGTAACACACATGTGATCACTCTTCAGTGAAAATATGTGCATAAAACGTGTTCATGAACCATTCAAAGATGCCAAACAAGTGAAAAAGCCAGTGTCCACTTCTAATTAAAGTATGGAGTAAATACCCTTACCAAAATACAACAATAATCTCGCCTTAATGCCATCCAGATATAATGCGACAATCAGATAGCCCTCATGGAAGGATCTTTAAGGATACCACACTCCCTTGTTGTCATCTGGGTTCATCAGCATACATACTCCACAATCCTCCACATACCATGCTCCATCAAGATGCCAATATATGAAGAATATAACAGTGTAATATCGCCAACACACCATATAAAATACTTTATTTATTAAGCTCACATAATATTAGCCTTTAAAACCGCCTTAAAAACGGATATTCCAAACCTCTCTGTTGTCCATAGAATATCCAAAATAATTGGCATGCTTCTTGCCACTTTCCAAAATGGCTGCTACTCCGCTTCCGGTTCCTGTGTGCGTCTGACATCACTTCCCTTGATGTGTTTCGTCATCGGACATACTCATAATATTTAATATTTTGGACTTTATAGTTATTTTCACATTGTAGGATAACATTTGTTTGGGTGGCATATTTATTTATTATATATGATACAAATATTATAAATTGAGTTGCAGTTCAGTGAGTAAAATAACTATTTGATCCCCTACCAACCAACAATAATTCTGGCTCCTACAGACTGGCTATGTGCTCATGTGGTACAAAGATTAGTCCTGTCAATTTAAGAAGGCGCTCCTAACGACAACTCATTATGTGTATATAAGATACCTGTCCACAGAATCTCTTTCTACCATTCAAACCTCACCACCATGGGCAAAACTAAACAGCTGTCAACAGATGTTAGAGGCAAGATTGTAGACCTGCACAAGACTGAAATGGGCTACAAGACCATCAGCAAGACGTTTGGTGAGAAGGAGAAAAATGTTGGAGCTATTATTCGCAATTGGAAGAAATACAAATTAACCATCAATCGTCCTCGGTCTGGAACTCCATGCCATATTTCGCCTCATGGGGTAAGGATGATCATGAGAAAAGTGAGGGATCAGCCCAAAACTACATGGAATGAGCTTGTGAAAGATCTCAAGGCAGTTGGGACTACAGTCACCAAACAAACCACTGTTAACACATTATGCCACCATGGATTGAAATTCTACAGTGCCCACAAGGTCCCCCTCCTCAAGAAGGCACATGTACAGGCCCGTTTGAAGTTTGCCAATGAACATCTAAATGATTCAGAGAAGGATTGGAAGAAAGTGCTGTGGTCAGAAGAGACCAAAATTGAGACCTTTGGCATTAACTCAACTCGCCGTGTTTGGAGGAAGAAAAATGCTGACTATGACCCTAAAAACACCATCCCTACAGTCAAGCATGGAGGTGAAAACATACTTTGGTGCGGTTTCTCTGCTAAAGGTACAGGCCGACTTTACAGTATTGAGGGGCCAATGGACAGGGCCATGCATTAGAAAATCTTAGATGATAACCTTCTTCCCTCAGCCAAAACACAAGATGGGTTGCGAATGGGTCTTCCAGCATGACAATGACCCAAAACATACCACCAAGGCAACAAAGGAGTGGCTGAAGAAGAAGCACATAGTAATATGACGGACGCAAGGTGGTTCTCTCATTCTGGGAGGACATCATATGACGTCCTCCCATTCTAACCGACGATCGGCTGTGTGCTGTGTCCCTCGGACAAAGCGGATCACCGATCCATGGAAAGAGCCGAAGATGTCGGCTCGGTCATGTGATCAGCTGTGTCCAATCACAGCTGATCACATGTAAACGGGGAAATGCCGGTTATCGACATTTCTCTCCCCACGAGCTGTCACGCTGACAGCTCGTGAGGAGAGGAGAGCCGGTAATCGGCATTCCTCGGAGGGGACATGTACACAGATCATCAGAGCATTGATGATCCGTGTGCCCTGATGATCTCTGTAGTCCCAGCAGCGCCACCTGTAGTGTCCATCAGTGCCAGCTCTCAGTGCTCATCCATGCCACCTGCCAGTGCCCATCAGTGCCACATCAATGCCACATATCTGTACCCATCTGAGCTGCCTTTCACTGTCACCCATCAATGACAGTCAGTGCCTATCAATGTCAGTCAATGCCACTTATCAGTGCTGCCAGTGCCCGCCTATCAGTGCCAGTCAGTGCAATATATGAGTGCTGCCTTTCAGTGCCCATCAGTGATGCCTGTCAATGCCCATCAGTGCCGCCTACCAGTGCCTCCTCATCAGTGCCCATCAGTGCCACCTATCAGTGTCCACCAGTGCAGCCTATCAGTGCCCATCACTGCAGGCTAATTAGCACAGATCAGTAAAGGAGAAAAATCACTTATTTAGAAAATTTTATAACAAAAACTAAGAAAAAACTTTTCAAAATTTTCAGTGGTTTTTGGTTTAAGAAAAAATAAAAAACCCAGAGGTGATTAAATACCACCAAAATAAAGCTCTGTCACAAAAAATAATAAAAAATTCATATGGGTACAGTGTTGCATGACCGCGCAATTGTCATTCAAAGTGCAACAGCGCTGAAAGCTGGAAATTGGCCTGGGCAGGAAGGGGGTATAAGTGCCCTGTAGGCTTGTGGTTAAGGTCATGGAGTGGCCTAGCCAGTATCCAGAACTTAATCCTATAGAAAATGTATGGAGGGAGCTGAAACTTCGAGTTGCTAAGCGACAGCCAAGAAACCTTAAGGATTTAGAGAAGATCTGTAAAGAAGAGTGGACCAAAATCCCACCTGAGATGTGTGCAAACCTGGTAACCAACTACAAGAAACATCTTATCTCTATGCTTGATAAAAAGGGTTTCTCCACCAAGTACTAAGGTAATAAGTCATCTTTTACTTGGGAATCAAATACGTATTTTACTCAATGAACTACAACTCAATCTATAACATTTGTATCATGTGTATTTTCTGGATTTTTGGTTGATATTCTGTCTCTATCATTTACAATGCGCCTGAAAAATTATAGACCCTTCATTTCTTTGTAAGTGGGCAACCTTACAAAATCTGCAGGGGATCAAATAATTATTTCCCTCACTGTACGCAAGCACTGTTTCAAGACTCCATATTGGGTCTATTCAAGTTTAAACTTGCTGCAGATTGATTTCTGCATATTTAAACTTATTTCAGAAGGTGCTGTCTTGTTTTCACTCTTTTACTACAGTCTGAACTGATATTTCTCACAGGCAGGACATGATTGAAGTTGGTTCACTATATTCATTATTATTTTGTTATTTTTATACGAATGTAGATGGTCATTACTCCCTGAAAGAGATAGAAATTAATTGCTTTGGGAGAAAATACTGAATGAACGGTTCAGGAGATAGCAAATGCAGTTGGTGGAAATCAAGTGTTTCAAGGATTGTGAACCTGCAGGACATTGTGGAAGAAAGACTACGCAAGGGATGATGGACTAATCAGAAAAATGAGCATCTTAAACCCAAAGACCAATGGGTACATCAAAAGTGAGCTTGCATGTCATGGAATAAATATGACTGTTTTCACTGCATACCGCCCACTCCTCCAGTGTGCTCACAGAGCCAAACGCCCAGTTAGGAAGCAGCTCTTGACACCCACTATGAAGAAGTAGTTGTAATGGGCAAAGAAGCATAGAGACTGGACTTTGGAGCCATGGAAAAAAGTAATCTTCTCAGACGAAACCGTTTTATGTTTATGGATACAGGTCAAACTTCGTTCATCGCTCACCTGAACCTCTTTGAACTGACCACATCCAGCAAGCCCCTAAACATCCACCTAAAATTATTATTATTATACAGTATTTATAAAGCGCCAACAGTTCGCTCAGCGCTGTACATTACAATGGGAGACAGAACATGAGACAGTACAATAACAATACAATGCGATACACGAGGGGTTCGAGGGCCCTGCTCCTTGGAGCTTACAATCTAGGATGGAGGGGATAGTGGTACAGGAGGAAATGGCTGTGGGGGATGGAGTGGTAGGAAGAGTGGAGGAGGGCGGAAATTAGCAGGGGGTGGGGTAGGCTTCCCTGAAAAGGTGGGTTTTCAGGGTGCGCCTAAAGGAGAGGAGAGTAGGTGATAGTCTGATGGATTGGGGTAGGGAGTTCCAGAGATTGGGTGATGCCCTGGAGGCGGGCATGGGAGGAGGAAACCAGGGACTAGAGATAAGGAGGTCTTGTGAGGAGCGGAGAGAGTGCGTGTTGGGTGGTACTTGGATATTAGGTCGGTGATGTAGTTTGGGGCAGTATGATGAACAGCTTTGTACGTCAGTGTTAGGATTTTGAATTTGATCCGTTGGGCAATCGGAAGCCAGTGGAGGGATTGGCAGAAATGGAGTGGTTGGTAAGGTGGATGAGTTTGGCTGCCGTATTCAGGATCGACTGAAGCGGGGATAGCCTGTGGCGGGGCAGGCCAGTGAGGAGGGAGTTACAGTAATCGAGTCGTGATATGATGAGGCAGTGGATGAGCTGCTTAGTGGTTTCTGGGGTTAGGAACATGCGGATTTTGGCGATGTTAAAATCATGTTTTGGGAGTGCTTTACTGCTTATGGACCAGAAACACTTCACCCCATCGAAGGCATGATTGACAGTAGTATGTAGGTGCTCTGAAAGCAAAACTGACCCCAGTACTAAAGAGGCGGTTTCCTAATGGAGATGGAATGTTCCAGCAAGTTGAAGCTCCCTGCCACAATTCCAAGTTCATTAAGGACTTTTTTCCCCAAGAAAAAAATGTAAAGTTTTGGAATGGCCCAGAAATTAATCAGACTTCAACCAGATAGAAAAATTGTGGGCCATTTTGAAGGCTCACATAAGAAAAATGCATTGTACAACAAAAATTAAAATGATAGAAAATGTTCTTCAAGTGTGGTTTAGGAACCCTGAAGTGAAGGATTTGTGCAAACAATTAGTGGCATCAATGCCTAAGAGGGCAAGCGAGGTAATTAAAGCTAAGGGAGGCCATATCAATAACTGACAGATAGTAAGTGTACAATCCAAGCGCATCAGTTTGATGAAGCACACACACATCATACAAAACAGTAGATTCTACTCCTGTTGTATGCAGGATACATTTCTCATACAAATTAAATTAAAGTGGTTGTAAAGACAGTTTTTTTTTTTAAAAAACCTCCTGCACTCTATGCATGAAGGTAAAAAAAACCTCCTGCATTCTATGCATGAAGGTAAAAAAAACCTCCTGCATTCTATGCATGAAGGTAAAAAAAAAAACCTCCTGCATTCTATGCATGAAGGTAAAAAAAACCTCCTGCATTCTATGCATGAAGGTAAAAAAACCTCCTGCATTCTATGCATGAAGGTAAAAAAAAAACCTCCTGCATTCTATGCATGAAGGTAAAAAAAAAACCTCCTGCATTCTATGCATGAAGGTAAAAAAACCTCCTGCATTCTATGCATGAAGGTAAAAAAAACTCCTGCATACAGCAGCTCCTCCTTATACTTACCTGAGCCCGATTTTGTTCCAGTGATATTTATAAGAGCAGAAGCTCTCTCAGATATCTCCCCTCCCAATTAGCTTAGAGACAGAAGTGGAAGCCATTGACTCCTGCTGCTGTCAACCACTGCCAATGAGGAGGGAGCGGGGGGAGGCAGGGAAAAGCCATGCTCTGTGCGTTTTATGGTCACCTAGGGCAGGGCTCAGGAGCAAGCATGCACGAGTGCCCCCATAACAAGAAGCATACTATGGGAGCACTCAGTTGGGGAGAGTAGCCTAAGATTTCTTGCGGGGGAACCTGAGAAGAAGACGATTGGGGCTATTCTGTGCAAAACCATTGCACAGAGCAGATAAGTATAACATGTATTTTAAAATCTAACATTTAGAATACCTTTATTAAGCTAGACTACATAAAAATATGAGTAAAAAAAAGCCTTGCTAGGAGCACTGTAACCTAAAGCAATAATCATAAGGTACTTGGTCTAGGCTTATCTTAGGAAGTGCAGCTCTGAAAGTAGAGGTGGACCCCAATTTAGCATGTCCAGGAGGCTTTGTCCAGGAGGGGTCATGTCTTCCCGGTAATGCCCTCTCTATGTGAGTGAAGGGTCATGTCTCCCCGGTAATGCCCTCTCTACGTGAGTGAGGGGTCATGTCTCCCCGGTAATGCCCTATGTGAGTGAGGGGTCACGTCACCCCCTCCCGGTAATGCCCTCTCTATGTGAGGGGTCATGTCTCCTCGGTAATGCCATATGTGAGTGAGGGGGGTCATGTCTTCCCAGTAATGCCCTATGTGAGTGAGGGGTCATGTCTTCCCAGTAATGCCCTCTCTATGTGAGTGAGGGGTCATGTCTCCCTGGTAATGCCCTCTCTATGTGAGGGGTCATGTCTCCTCGGTAATGCCCTATGTGAGTGAGGGGTCATGTCTCCCCGGTAATGCCCTCTCTAGGTGAGTGAGGGGTCATGTCTCCCTGGCAGAACTCTCTCCCCAGTGCATACACATGATTGGCAATGTCTTCCTGGCAATGATCTCTAGATGTGAGTACTCGCCCCTTTCTCCTTGGCAGTTCCCTTTTCTATGCCCGTTAAGAGATAACCTTTATGTCTCCCGAGAGTGCCTTCCCCTCTAAGTATGTGAAATATATCTCCGTCAGTGCCCTCTCCACTGTTCATATGGCTGGTCAAGCTTCCACATCAGTGCTTTCTGACTGGTCCCGTATCCTCTCTCCTCTGTCTAAATGACTGGTCCTGTATCCTCTCTCCCCTGTATAATGACCCTGTATCCTCTCCCGTATCCTCTCCCCTCTCTATATGACCGGTCCCGTATCCTCTCTCCTCTCTCTATATGACTGGTCCTGTATCCTCTCTCCCTGTCTATGACTGGTCCCGTATCCTCTCTGACCCTGTCCATATGACCGGTCCTATCCTCTCTCCCTGTATATATGACTGGTCCCTGTATCCTCTCCCCCTGTCTATATGACTGGTCTGTATCCTGTATCCTCTCTCCCTCTCTCTGTATATATGACTGGTCCTGTATCCTCTCTCCCCTGTATATATGACTGGTCCTGTATCCTCTCCCCCTGTATATATGACTGGTCCTGTATCCTCTCCTGACTGGTCCTGTATCCTCTCTCCTATATATGACTGGTCCTGTATCCTCTCTCCTCTGTATATATGACTGGTCCTGTATCCTCTCTCCTCTCTATATATGACTGGTCCTGTATCCTCTCTCCTCTCTATATATGACTGGTCCTGTATCCTCTCTCCTCTCTATATATGACTGGTCCTGTATCCTCTCTCCTCTGTATATATGACTGACTGGTCCTGTATCCTCTCTCCCTCTGTATATATGACTGGTCCTGTATCCTCTGGTCCTGTATCCTCTCCCCTGTATATATGACTGGTCCTGTATATATGACTGGTCCTGTATCCTCTCCTCTCTATATATGACTGGTCCTGTATCCTCTATATGACTGGTCCTGTATCCTCTCTATACTGTATATATGACTGGTCCTGTATCCTCTCTATATATGACTGGTCCTGTATATGACTGGTCCTGTATCCTGTATCTCTCCTCTGTATATATGACTGGTCCTGTATCCTCTCTCCCTCTATATATGACTGGTCCTGTATCCTCTCCTCCTCTGTATATATGATCTCTCTCCTGTATCCTGGTCTCTCCTCTGTCCTCTGTATATATGACTGGTCCTGTATCCTCTCCCTCTATATATACTGGTCCTGTATCTCTCCCTCTGTATATATGACTGGTCCTGTATCCTCTCTCCTCTCTGTATATGACTGGTCCTGTATCCTCTCTCCTCTCTATATATATGACTGGTCCTGTATCCTCTCCCTCTGTATATATGACTGGTCCCTGTATCCTCTCTCCTCTGTATATGACTGGTCCTGTATCCTCTCCCTCTCTATATATGACTGGTCCTGTATCCTCTCTCCTCTGTATGACTGGTCCTGTATCCTGGTCCTGTATCTCTCCTCTGTATATATATGACTGGTCCTGTATCCTCTCTCTCCTGGTCCTGTATCCTCTCTATATATGACTGGTCCTGTATCCTCTCTCCTCTCTCTATATACATGACTGGTCCTGTATCTCTCCCTCTGTATATGACTGGTCCTGTATCCTCTCTCCTCTCTATATATGACTGGTCCTGTATCCTCTCTCCTCTGTATATATGACTGGTCCTGTATCCTCTCTCTCTGTATATATGACTGGTCCTGTATCCTCTCTCCTCTGTATATGACTGTCCTGTATCCTCTCTCCTCTGTATACATGACTGGTCCTGTATCCTCTCTCCTGTATATATATGATGGTCCTGTATCCTCTCCTGTATGACTGGTCTCTCCTCCTCTCTATATATGACTGGTCCTGTATCCTCTCTCCTCTGTATATATGACTGGTCCTGTATCCTCTCTCCTCTCTATATATGACTGGTCCTGTATCCTCCTCTGTATATGACTGGTCCTGTATCCTCTCCTATATATGACTGGTCCTGTATCCTCTCTATATATGACTGGTCCTGTATCCTCTCTGTATATATGACTGGTCCTGTATCCTCTCTCCTCTGTATATGACTGGTCCTGTATCCTCTCTCCTCTGTATATATGGCTGGTCCTGTATCCTCTCTCCCACTGTATATATGACTGGTCCTGTATCCTCTCTCCCACTGTATATATGACTGGTCCTGTATCCTCTCCCCCACTGTATATATGACTGGTCCTGTATCCTCTCCTCTGTATATATGACTGGTCCTGTATCCTCTCTCCTCCTGTATATATGACTGGTCCTGTATCCTCTCTCCCCCATGACTGGTCCTGTATCCTCTCTCCTCTGTATATATGACTGGTCCTGTATCCTCTCTCCTCTGTATATATGACTGGTCCTGTATCCTCTCTCCTCTGTATATATGACTGGTCCTGTATCCTCCTCCTATCCTCTCTCTCTCTGTATATATGACTGGTCCTGTATCCTCTCTCCTCTGTATATATTGACTGGTCCTGTATCCTCTCTCCTCCTGTATCCTGTATATATGACTGGTCCCGTATCCTCTCTCCTGGTCTGTATATCTCTATATATGACTGGTCCTGTATCCTCTCTCCTCTGTATATATGGTCTGGTCCTCTGTATCCTCTCTCCCTCTGTATATATGACTGGTCCTGTATCCTCTCCCCCCTGTATATATGACTGTCCTGTATCCTCTCTCCTCTGTATATATGACTGGTCCTGTATCCTCTCTCTCTCCTCTGTATATATGGCTGGTCCTGTATCCTCTCTCCCACTGTATATATGACTGGTCCTGTATCCTCTCTCCCCCTGTATATATGACTGGTCCTGTATCCTCTCCCCCCTGTATATATGACTGGTCCTGTATCCTCTTTCCTCTGTATATATGACTGGTCCCGTATCCTCTCTCCTCTGTATATATGACTGGTCCTGTATCCTCTCTCCTCTGTATATATGGCTGGTCCTGTATCCTCTCTCCCACTGTATATATATGACTGGTCCTGTATCCTCTCCCCCCTGTATATATGACTGGTCCTGTATCCTCTCTCCTCTGTATATATGACTGGTCCTGTATCCTCTCTCTCCTCTGTATATATGACTGGTCCTGTATCCTCTCCCCCCTGTATATATGACTGGACCCTGTATCCTCTCTCCTCTGTATATATGACTGGTCCCGTATCCTCTCTCTCTCTCTATATATGACGGTCCTGTATCCTCTCTCCTCTGTATATATGACTGGTCCTGTATCCTCTCTCCTCTGTATATATATGACTGTCCCTGTATCCTCTCCCCCCTGTATATATGACTGGTCCTGTATCCTCTTTCCTCTGTATATATGACTGGTCCTGTATCCTCTCTCCTCTGTATATATGGCTGGTCCTGTGTGCTCTCTCCCCGTCTCTATGGGTGCTCAGGTCCCCCTGGCAATGCCTCTCACCCCCGCCGTGGCGCTGTTCTCGTCCCCCAGGCCAGGCGGTGGTTGGCTGCCATCTCCTCCATACAGCGGCGTCTTCTCTCCTCGGTGCAGGTTGCGGCTCCCCGGGATATCAGGCGGGGTGGTAACCCAGTGCTGTGACAGGTCCCCGGAAGAGCTGAATGACCTTGCCGGGAAGCCGTGCTGGTAAGGCGGTGGCGGCCCTTCCTCTGCCCGTCCCCAGGCAGATCCCCGTAGCCTAGGCCATCAAAGCCATCGGGCCGACGGGGCTGCATGCTGCCGTCAATGTTGTTTAGCCCGGGTCACCCGACAGCGTGACGTCACGGCGCAAATGTTTAGCTGCTGGGTCACATCAATCCCGCCACTGCCTGCTAGGAAGAAGGGCCTGTCAAGGCTCAAGTCACATGACAGCAAGGCATGTCGGGATACGAAGTCCCAATATGTGGCCAATAGCATAGCGAGGGGTGGGCGGTCCTGCTAGGCTCTGACAGGTCGTTCTGTTTACCACAAAGGTAGGCGTGTGTAGTGAAAGTCAGCGTGTAATAGGCTGGACAGGAGGAAGGTGGGATCATGTTGGGAAGGGAGTTTCTGCGCGTCCTTAGCAACCACGTGTGTGCGGAGAGCAGTGTGGAGTCAGTGCAGCTCATCCAGCAGCAGGAACAGCGGAGGATCTGTATATCGGACAGTGCTGTGTGAGAGGTAAGAGGGTGTATAGGAAGGGAGGATTCCTCCACCAGAGGCAAATCCCAGGACACTGGAAGTGGACGCAGTATTCTACAATAGAGATGTATAGAGAGGGATCAGGACCCCCTTCTTGTTACTGTTGACCAGCACTATTTTGCACCCTAAGTAAGATCAGCTACTTGCGCCCTCCCACCCCCCAAAAAAAAAATTAAGAAAAAAAAAAAATAAATCAACAAAACATGAAATTGCTAAACTTCTTTTCATTTGCAAAATAAGTGCCATAGGACGCCACCAGCACCAATGTTAAAGACAAAATCAGTGTCAGGGATGGATTGTATCTGTGGCTGGCAGTGGCAGGGTGACAATTGCAGTGAGTGATTGATCCATTCTGTGACCAATCCCAGGCTGGAATTCCCCAGGCAATGGGGGGAGGTAAAACACTGTGATAGCAGGCAGCCCAGCCCACACACAGAGAACACCTGAACTGGGCGATCCCACAGTGACAGATCTGATACAACACACCACCATCAAACCTGACACAGATCAGCAGGCACTAGAAGAACAGACTTTGGGATTGTGAAGATGTCATCACTCACTGACACATTGCACATGTGATGGATGGCCGGCCAGGTCAGACACAGACATGAGACATCAGTCAGACATTACCTTCCTCCGCAGGCGCAGCTCCATCTCTGCTGATGATTGGGAGAGAAGGGCTGGAACTCCACAGTGATCAGCAGCCATCAGCCGGATTGTAGTAAGGGACTGAGTCTGAGAGGAACACTGGAAGGAGTGGCAGCTCAGCTACTATACTGGCCCCAGACACCGGGCATCTTCCTCTGTCCTTTCTTCCTCCCCTCTGCCGCCCTTCCCCTCAGCTGGAGGATCGTTCATGATGTGGCGGCGTTCCACACAGAGAGAGTCCCTAGGTGGCAGTGTGCCCTAAGCAGCTGCCTAATTTGCCTAGTGGAAGCACCAGCCCTGCTGGTGACCCTCTAGTGATACATTCTGGAATTCTGATTTTCCCACTGCCTGGCCACACTAATAATTACTAATATTGGCCGTATTTACTAATTGTGCAATCATATGAGATAAGTACCCCCCCAAGATCTTTTTCTTCTGTAGTTCTGGCCAACATTGTACCCCCAAAATGGTACTCTTATCATGGATTCTTTTTCCCCAGGTGTATTAGCCCGAAGGTTTTACCCCCCTTCATGACCAGGCCATTTTTTGCTATGTAGTACTGTGTTTCCTTAACTGGTAATTGCGCGGTCAATGCTGTACCCAAACACAATTTATATCATTTTTCCACACAAATAGAGCTTTCTTTTGTTTTTTTTTGTTTTTTGTATTTTTTATTATATAAACAAAAAAAAATAACATTTTTTACTTTCTGTTATAAAACAGATCCAATAAAAGAAAATTTTAAATATCACATTTCTACATAAATTTAGGCAAAGATTTATTCTGCCACATGTCTTTGGTAAAAAGAAAAAACATCAGAATAAGTGTGTATTGATCAGTTGGTGTGGAAGTTATTGCCTCTACAAACTATGGTATTGTGATGTACCTGGTGGAGATCGGGCTGGGGAGGGGGCTTCTCTTACACCTCTTGTCCAATACCCCTGGCAGTGATGACAGGGAGAGTGTGGGGACACAGAGTGGCACGAGGGCCGATGTTGCAGCGAGGTACAGGAACAAAAGAGACAGAATCAGGATACAAGCCCGGATCAATACACAGCTGGACAGCGAGGTACAGGAACATCAGGCAGAGACAGAGTCAGGATACAAGCTGGGATCTTTAAACAGCCAGGTAGCGAGGTACAGGAACAACAGGCAGAGACAGAGTCAGGATACAAGCCAGGATCAGTACACAGCCGGGTAGCGAGGTACAGGAACATCAGGCAGAGACAGAGTCAGGATATAAGCCGGGATCAGTACACAGCCAGGTAGCGAGGTTCAGGAACATCAGGCAGAGTCAGGATACAAGCCGGGATCAGTACACAGCCAGGCAGCGAAGTACAGGAACATCAGGCAGAGACAGAGTCAGGATATAAGCGGGGTCAGTACACAGCGAGGTACAGAAACATCAGGCAGAGACAGAGTAAGGATATAAGCCGGGGTCAGTACACAGCCAGGTAGCGAGGTTCAGGAACAAAAGGCAGAGACAGAGTCAGGATACAAGCCTGGATCAATACACAGCTGGACAGCGAGGTACAGGAACATCAGGCAAAGACAGAGTCAGGATACAAGCCAGGATCAGTACACAGCCAGGCAGCAAGGTACAGAAACATCAGGCAAAGATGGAGTCGGTATAAGCCGGTATCAGTACACTGCCAGGTAGCGAGGTACAGGAAACATGAGGCAGAGACAGAGTTAGGATACAAGCTGGGATCAGTACACAGCAAGGTAGCGAGGTACAGGAACATCAGGCAGAGACAGAGTCAGGATACAAGCCAGGATCAGTACATAGCCGGGTAGCGAGGTTCAGGAACATCAGGCAGAGACAGAGTCAGGATACAAGCCGGGATCAGTAAACAGCCAGGTAGCGAGGTACAGGAACATCAGGCATAGACAGAGTCAGGATACAAGCCAGGATCAGTACATAGCCGGGTAGCGAGGTTCAGGAACATCAGGCAGAGACAGAGTCAGGATACAAGCCGGGATCAGTAAACAGCCAGGTAGCGAGGTACAGGAACATCAGGCATAGACAGAGTCAGGATACCAGCCGGGATCAGTACACAGCCAGGCAGCAAGGTACAGGAACATCAGGCAGAGACAGAGTCAGGATATAAGCTGGGGGGTCAGTACACAGCCAGGTAGCGAGGTTCAGGAACATCAGGCAGAGACAGAGTCAGGATACAAGCCGGGATCAGTAAGCAGCCAGGTAGCGAGGTACAGGAACATCAGGCAGAGACAGAGTCAGGATACCAGCTGGGTCAGTACACAGCCAGGCAGCGAGGTACAGGAACAACAGGCAGAGACAGAGTCGGGTTACAAGCCGGGGTCAGTACACAGCCAGGTAAAGAGGTACAGGAACATCAGGCAGAGACAGAGTCAGGATATAAGCCGGGATCAGTACACAGCCAGGCAGCGTGGTTCAGGAACATCTGGCAGAGACAGAGTCAGGATACAAGCCGGGATCAGTACACAGCCGGGTAGCGAAGTACAGGAACATCAGGCAGAGACACACAGTCAGGATACAAGACTGGGATCAGTACACAGCCAGGCAGTGAGGTACAGGAACATCAGGCATAGACAGAGTCAGGATACAAGCCAGGATCAGTACACACCCGGGTAGCGAAGTACAGGAACATCAGGCAGAGACAGAGTTGGGATACAAGACCGGGATCAGTACATAGCCGGGCAGTGAGGTACAGGAACATCAGGCAGAGACAGAGTCAGGATACAAGCCAAGATCAGTACACACCCGGGTAGCAAAGTTTAGGAACATCAGGCAGAGACAGAGTCAGGATACAAGCCGGGATCAGTACACAGCCAGGCAGCGAGGTACAGGAACATCAGGCAGAGACAGAGTCAGGATACAAGACCGGGATCAGTACATAGCCGGGCAGCGAGGTACAGGAACATCAGGCAGAGGCAGAGTCAGGATACAATCCAGGATCAGTACATAGCCGGTAGCGAGGTACAGGAACATCAGGCATAGACAGAGTCAGGACAAGCCAGGATCAGTACACAGCCGAGTAGCGAGGTACAGGAACATCAGGCATAGGTCAGATTTAAGACTGGATACAAGCCAGGCAGTCGAGTTACAGTACACAGCCAAGCAGGGAGGTACAGAGGTACACATGAGGCAGAGACAGAGTCAGGATACAAGCCGGGATCAGTACATAGCCAGGCAGGGAGGAAGGAACACAACACAGGAGCAGAGTCAGAACACATGCCCAAGGTCACAGTAGGCAGGCAGAAAGGAACCAAGACAGGTCAGGGGCAAGCCAAGTCGTACATAGGAGGTAAACAGGTATAGTAGGTCAAGGCTCAAGTAAAGCAGGAAGCCGGGATAGCTGCCAGGCAAGACCACAACACATCAAACCACCCATGTCAGAGTGCAGCTTAAATAGGTACCATTTGGCGCCAGTGACCATACCCATGTCAGAGTGCAGCTTAAATAGACCATTTGGCGCCAGTGACCATACGTGTGTACATGCATGTATGTTTTCTGCACATGTGAGTGCGAAAATGCCTGTTTTGTGTTGAGCTTTTGCTCAGAATTATAAGCATGCACATAAGTATGAGCATGTGCCAACCTTCTTGTTCCAACATGTAGTAAGGTTCTCTCTTACAGATATACAGTATATATTTGAATGTGCCAAAAAAAGTGTAGTGAGCACAAAGAATTAAATGAACAAGCAGCTAGCACAAAGTGGCAAAACCTCTTATTCCACTGAATAAACACATGTACAAAGGTGCAGCGCTAATATATGAACTAAAATGATGTGGGAACTGACTGGCACTGACATCACCAGTGACACTAATACAGTGATCAGTGCTAATACTATACACTGGTACTGTGTTAATGACACTGGCTGGAAAGGGGTTTACATCTCGGGGTAATCAAGGGGTTAAATGT